CCCTAAACCCTAAACCCGACATCCCCAAGTCTAGACCCTAGAGCGCGCAACTCTCATCCTCAAAACTTGCAGCCCAAGGTGAGGGATGAGAATCCGTGAAATTGTTTCGATTCAAGACTTCCCCGGGATGAGTGCTCGTGGAACCCTCAACCTCTTCCAAACCCTAGCCCTAAACCCCGTTCCCTAAACCCTAAACCCCTTGAACCCAAAAAACCCCAAACCCCTAAACCCCAAAAGCCCCAAACCCTAAACCCTAAACCCCCTGAACCCCCCAAAACCCCCAAACCCGAAACCCCCAAACCCTAAACCACTAAACCCTAGACCATAAAAACCCTAAGCCCTGCAGCCCTCAGGCCGCCAAACCCCCGTAAGCCGCCCTAAAGCCTAAACCCTACAACCCTAAAGCCTAAACCCTGCAACCCGAAAGCCTAAACCCTGAGGCCGTAAACCCTAAACCTTCATCAAACCCTACAAGCCTAAAGCCCTAAAACCCTAAACCCTAAACCCTGCAAGCCTAAAGCCCTGAAACCCTAAACCCTAAACCCTGCAAGCCTAAAGCCCTAAAGCCCTAAACCCTAAACCCTACAAGCCTTAAGCCTAAACCCTAAACCCTACAAGCCTCAAGCCCTAAGCCTAAACCCGCCACGAGGCCGCCAGCCAAACCGAAGGATTGGGGCCGCAGCCTCAGATCTCGCAGCAAGAAGTCGGCTGTGGATTTTTTTGGGGTTTAGAGTTTTTGGGGTTTTAGGGGGAGTTTTTAGGTGTTTTTTAGGGGTTTTTAGGGGTTTAGGGCTTGAGGGGTTTAGGGGTTTAAGGCTTGAGGGTTTAGGGGTTGAGAGGTTTAGGGTTTAGGGGTTTAGGGCTCGAGGGTTTAGGGGTTTAGGGCTTGAGGGTTTAGGGGTTTAGGGGTTTAGGGGTTGAGGGGTTGAGGGGTTTAGGGTTTAGGAAGTTTGGGTTCGGGCTTGGGTTCAGAGTTTCCACGGCAGCAGACTTCAGCCGCACCCGGCACTGGCTTTTCAGAATTGGACATGGGTTTAGGGTTTAGGGTTTAGGGTTGCAAGGAAGGCTCCCCGTTTGTGCTATACCAGGGACATAGTCCTAATCTAAATCTCAATGAAAATGAAACTGGCACTTCCAATACTGATTCCAGAGGCGACTGTGAACAGTGATACAGTGCTGGTGGTACTCTACCAATATCAGCCATCATCATGCTAAGACTAGTATCGTCAAAACACTAGCATGAACACGCAAAGAAGAACTAGGTCCAAGAACTACAACAGTTCCTTGGTGCTTACCAGACAAGTATTGTAGCAAAAAGTTATATTCGCTAGACGAATCGTTGTACTACTCGCGTTCGTGATCGCATTAAACATAAGCAACAACATGCACATGTCAGCTGCAATACCCGGAACAAGTCATGATGATGTTGTTGATCATATGCCAGGCCTGGATAGTGGAAAGCCCCGGATCTGTAAATGCCTGGAGCAGCCTCAACTGGGTCCCTAACGTGGCATCCGGCTTGTGAAGGTCCATGAAGGATCAGTTCATTGCATCACTGGAAGCTGCCAGCAGGCCCCTCGCAGCTTTCTGCAGATAATATAGGGGCCTCAATAATTAGAATAGGGTCTCGGGGTATATTATGCTATAACTATAATAAGGAACCCCTCAGAATAGTATTGGTAATCATGAAGGCCCCTATATTATTGGTAATAGAAAAGGAGTTCATCGTCTTGGGCAGGGGATGTTCAGGGGCTTGGGGTGCGCTTTCCACTTCGGCCTTCAACCGGAGAACAAGCAATTCTGGCCTCAGGCTCAGGTTTTTATGAACCCCTGATGGCAACAGAAGAACGCACGTGATGTGACATGGCAGCAAAAAACTCCGAGAATGGCTTCTGATGAAGCTGTGCGCAAGGATGTCCTCCAATTGTGCGGACGGTCAGCTGGTGCTCATCGTTGCCCGGCAGACAACGGTATGGTTAGACCTGAGCAGGCGAGGGAAAGGCGGAGAAGTTACCCTAAACCTTAAACCGTACTCCTAGACCCTAAACCCTAAACCCGAAACCCGAAAGCCTAAACCGTAGGAGTAGTGCGTAAGTAGTATTAGCAATGGTCACGCGAGCCATGAGCCGGGCCTTGCAGCAGCAGCAAGAGAAGCTCCCGTGAGAAAGCTTCATGAAAACAAGAGCAGAGCAGTCAAGCTAGTACTGTACAGGGTCCGAAATAGTTTCCACTACTCTTCTTAGGGTTCCTTATTGTAGGTAAAACCCCGAAGCCCTATTAAAATTGATAAGGCCCTTGTACTGCCTGATGAGCTGTGAGTAGAAAACCCTGAGTGCTGAGATCCGCAGCTCAGGTGGATATGCACGGGCTGCAGACACGCCTAAACGCAGATTTTTCGGCCGCCAGCACCTTACGTCCATTGCCACAGCAGGGTTCTCGTGAAAAACCAGACGCCTTCTAAACCCTCAGCTCGAAAACCTGAAAACACAAAACCCACTTTTCTACCCTTCAAGGGGACCCTATTACTAAACCCTAAATCCTATACTATTGTTAAAGGGGACCTTATTACTAGACCCTAAACCCTAAGCACGAAAGTAGCACGGCCTTAGTGCGCCTCGGACGTTTGGCTGGGTACTATAGGGGCCCTCAATAATTAGGGTTTAGGGTTTAGGGTTTAGGGGTTTAGGTGTAGGCTTAGGGTTCGGATTTCGGGTGTAGGGGTTTAGGGTTTTGGGGAAGTAGAATTACACCCCATAGGAACCATGGAGGCCCTTGTCTATAACTTGCAGCTACGGTAGAATGTGAGTAGGGCTTTGGGAAGGCAACTACAGTAGCATGAACGTCCAGTCAGAAGTATAGTGGGAAGTCACGGCTATGTAGTAGTGACGCTGTTACACTACTATCCAGGATTGCCAAATATCGATCCTGTGCCCGACTTCGTGAACCATCTCCATGAACCGTCCGAACCCATGACAAGTTGGCAAGGGTGAGGTGAGCCCGATGTTGTCCCCAAGCCTAAATCCTAAACGGTCCTGACCGCCGAGCTAACAAATCACCTCGTCTGCCAACCTAAACTCTAAACGCCTTTTTACGCTCAGATCAACGATCTCGCAGAGACGCTGGGTTGTGCCGCGCCCTCAGCGGTTTGGCACTTCGCACTGGCAGACTCGTATTATCTATCCCGTATAAAGTATCCAAATCATGAACCTTTGACCCTCACGCCCTCAAGAACCCATGCCCCGAACCCTCAACTCTGCACAAGGTGTAAGCCCGTGATTTTGGTTTTGGAATACTTCCTTGCTGTCTCTGCTTCCCTGACATCTTGCCACTTGCCACCACATGAGACAAAGCTCACAATGGCCGAAGGTGAATGTTTCTTAGGGTTTCGAGTTCTCCCCGCCAAATAGGCGAAACTTAGTGGCAAGTCAGAACAAACCCTAAACCCTAAACCCCCCTAAACCCTAAACCCTAAACCCTAAACCCCAAAAGTAGTGCTTGGCAAGTGTTACAACAATCCAGCCAGAAGCCGACAGATCTGAACCCAAGGGTTCCCACCATATAGGAAAACATGGGGGCAAAAAGGGTCCATTCTATAGAGTACTGTAGTGGGTCCCCCTTACTCTTAACTCCCGTTTCTTAAATAGGGGTGCTATAGGGTACTAAAATGGGTCACCTTTACTCATAACTTCCGTTTCTTATGGGCCCCTTTTCTGATAACTCCCGTATTTCCCAGACACTAAATCTTAAACAAAAAGGGGCCCTGACACGATCAGGTTTTTGCCGAGCGGATGCGGCGAATCATCATCGTCGACTTCTCCAGCGCGGCTCAGACGCTTTGGTGCGGAACCCAGACAGGCTAAGGGTTTCGTAGGGCTTACAACAATAAGGGTGTAATATAGGGGCCTTAATAATTACCTATACTATCTTGGGGGCTCTTTATTACAATTGGATAATAATTACATCCCCGAACCCTATTCATTAATTTTGAAAATTCTGTCGGATGTAGGGTCTTAAGGTTCAGTTTTTATGGGCTTTACGACTTGAGGCATTGTTTCAGGAGTCTTATATGACCCCTAAATCCTAAACCCTACCCCAACCCCTAAACCCTATACCCTAAACCCTAAACCCTAAACATAGGTTTAGGCTTTCTGAAGCATGGTCTTCTGAAATAAGTTCGTGGATCCTGGCTCTGTATATTTCGGGCCCGAAGCAGGAGCAGACTTTCGGCACGGCCCCGAGTTGTCCTTTACCCTGACGTCTATCTGCGGGGTAGTGTAGGGGCCTAAATAATTACCTATACTACTTTGTGGGTTCCTTCATATCACTATAGTATCATGGGCCCCAAAGCCCTATTCTAACTATTAAGGCCCCTGTATTCTCTTCCCAAGATGATGGTAAGGAGGAGTACAGCCCTCTGCGAAGCCTGAAACTCTGAACTGCAAGAGGGCCAGACTTTGGGGCAGCCCGGACAGCCGATAAGTTGGGATCGTGGGCCTTTCCAGGGACCCTTAAGGGTACATATAGGGTATATAGCAGGTGTATAAGGATCCCAGGGTTAAGGGCTCATACCAGTACTAGGGGCCCATGGTTTCAACCTTAGAAGAACTGTGCAGGTAATCACGGAGTTTCTCGTTGCTCTTGATGATGCACTTGAGCTCGATGGCATCGCCCGACACCGTGGGGTCGTTTCTTTATCCAGACTCAGAAAACGCAAGGCCGCTTGGAACCCTCCCAAAGGCCCCTTCTGGTTCTGAAGGCGAACTATTCTTCGCAACTCAAAGGGAGGTACCAAATCCGTCAGAAAACTCCAGAGGAAGGGTTTAGCGTTTAGGGTTTAGTGCCTGATCGACCTTCGGTTGGAGATTTTCCAGCCCGGTTTTGGCTGGACCT